CTCCGCTTGCACCTGCTGATGTGACCTTGGGTCAGTCACAAGCTCTGGCACAGCTGTCCTTGAAAAAGAGCAGTTTCTGTCAGAGCTCTCTCAGCCCCACCCACCTCCCAGGGTGTCTGTTGTGGGGAGGGGAAGGGAAAGGAGTTTGTCAGCCGCTCTGAGACTCCTTTGGGTTGTGAAGGGCGGGGTATAAATCCAATCTCTCCTCTTCTTAAAATGTGGGAGAGCTAGAAATGGCCAATACGTTGAGCAATTATATATATAGGACTAGGAAAAAGGCCCGTTGTGGAAATAACTATAACGGCCTCTAGAAAGAGGCTCTGGGCGGGTGCCCCGGCCTTGGACACTCAGTGTCAATTTGCTGTGGCAACCTCAGCAGGGTATAATGACACTGAGTCCACCATTTTCTCCAGAGGAACTGATCTCTGCTACCTAAGGAACAGTTGTAATTTTGAGTGATCTCCAGCCCTCACCTGGAGATTGGCAACGATGGTTCCCCAGACAAGACTAGTTGGTTTGGAGGGTGGAGTATATGGTTGGTACCTGTCCGAGGTCCCACACCTCCTGAAACCTCACCATCGCCAGGCTCCATCCCTCACATCTCCAGGAATTTCCCACCTGGAGTTGGCAACCCTATCTCCTTCCCAGCCAATCATCAATTTACCTTTATTTCCCCCTCACTCTTCAGCTTTCCACCCCCCACACACCTGCAGCCTCTCCCGTGCTCTGAAGCCCTGACTGCTACGTCACATTGGCTGTCATACGGAGGCCACCTCAGCAGCATATAAGGATACAGAGCCCACCATTTTCTCCAGGGGAACTGATCTCTGCCATCTGGAAAGCAGTTGTAATTCTGAGTGATCTCCAGCCCTCACCTGGAGATTGGACACATTTTACCTCAGAACAGCAAAACTGTTTAGAATGTTAGAGGCAAAAGCCAATCAAGTCGCATATGCAAACGACCTCTGTGTTCCATGCAAATAACCTCTGTGTTCTGACTGGCTATGGGGGGGAGAGGATTAGCAAAATGTTTAGAATGTTGGAGGCAGGACTCAGGCAAAGCAGCCAATGGATAGGGAGACCCTCTGAATGACAGATCAGAGAGCGAACTGATTTAGGAGCGTGTGGAATGTTCTAGAGAAGTGCCACCACCATTCGGCTTTTATTTATAAGGGAGATTATTCCATTTTCTGCATTATGTAACATACCGTATCTAATACTGCATGCTTTCGGAGTTCTGTAATCTGTTCCCTGTCACATTGGATAGGGTTAGGGTTGTCGTAAGAGCCCTGTGGACCTGTCGGTTGCCGTGACTTACACTGTTTAGTCTTCCTTGGGGAGGGGCTGCATCCTAATAAGGTGGTAGAGAACCTGCTTAGCATGTGGCAGGTCAAAGGAAAGGACTTCTGCCGGAGACACCCCCCCCCCCCCCAGAGCTGCTGCCAGCCTGAGCAGGCAAGACTGACCTTGCTGGTCTAGTTCAGTGTAAGCCAGCTTCATGTGAGTCTCAGCGAGGGAGGCTGGCTGTAAATTAAATAAGTTTAAAGAGCCACAGCAGAGCGTCTGGCCACAGGCAGCCCCCCCCCCCAAGCTGATCGAGAGAAAGGCGTAGGCAGGAAAAGCGGGAGGCGGATGCTGAAAAAGTTGCCGGGGGGGGGGGGGTTCCTGATCAGGGCTGGGGAGCATGGGTCCCCTGTCCCCCCCCAAAAAAAACCCCACCCCTGTAGGTTCTTTTTTAGGGACTTTGAGTGGTGCAGGTCTGGCTGCACTCTTTGGATTGCATCTTGCCATTTGTGCTGGTGTGAAGGGATGGAGAAGTTGCGTGCCAGTTTAAGAGGGGAAGAGAGACTGAAATGTGGGGAAGGGGGTTGCGCAATAAAACAGGGATCCAGGGGGGGTCCCTTAAAGACTGACAACGTTTATTCCAGCGGACACTCCCACCATCCCTGAGTCGGCTCCATCCGGTCTCGGGCTCCAGAGAGCTGCAGGAACGAATGTGGGGAGCCCTGAAGGGGCTCCTCCTGGACTCCTCCCTTTGCTGCTGCTGCTGCTGCTGCTGCAGACTAGCAAGGCTGCTGCCGTGAAGGGAGGGGAGGGGAGGGGAGGGGGAGAGTTAAGTGGTGGTGGGAAGGGAAGGCCTGCCATCGCCTCAGAGGGGGCTTTGGGGGAGGCCACAACAGAGAAATGGGGGGTGGGGGAGAACTACCAGGAGAAAGAGCGGGGTCTCAGTTATTTACTCTTAGCAGTCCACGACTGAGAAGGGCACATCTGCCCGCCACTCTCCTCCGATTCTGATGCATTCATTTCCTACACTCTGTGCCCCCTCCCCCCCACTCCGGAATTAAACCGGAACAAATGGTGGTGACCCTATAAACGAAGCTTTTGGTCCTTGTGTCTGTCCAACAACTTTGTTAAGCTGCTGTATATGCCCATTTGCCGCTCACCCTCTGCCCAGCTTCCATTTCCAATGTGTCTGAGGAAGTGTGCCCCCTGAATCTACCAGGAGAGGGAGCCCAGGTCGTGATTGAACGGGCTTCCCCTTCCAGGGAAGGCAAAGAGCTCAGAGGTCGGTCTGTGGGTCGGAGGGAGGCCCGCAGGGGCCCGGGGTGTGGGGGGGGAGGCGGGAAGAGAGCAGAGGGATCCCGCGTCACCAGGGTGTGACTTTGTGGCTGTCTGAAGCCGTGTCCTCCGGTCCCTTCCTGTGGACAACCAAGATCTTGTCCAGTTCCTTGCCTTATCCTCCGGGCCACTGAGCCCTTCTGGGGAAGAGACCAGACAAACTGAGCTTTCTCTGTCGTGAAGGGGAGCTGCTGGTGTGAGTCCCTGAAGGAGACGGGGGTGGGCGGGGGGGGGGGGAG